TCAGTTAATTTGCCTTCCACTGTGGAAGAACTAATGCTTCCAAGAAAACAAATGAAAAAATTCCCAAAGAAAGAAACTAAATCTCATATATGAAATGGTAAAAAAAAGCACAGTAAATTGTAAGCTTATTATTATCTGATTGAATAAAAAAAAAATAATAAATAAATAAAAAAAGAACAACACTAATAAAAAGTAGTTGAACAAGATTGTATCTTTAAAGTAGACAAATCCCCCATTGTGCACGAAGGGGTAGAGACCAAAGAGAAAACCAACCAATTATTGCTTGATATCAAAAGAGAGTAAACTGCAAAGGAAACTAGTGGAAGCTGGAAACATAATCTTGCTAGAAACACCCATGCCTTGTTATTTACAAAATTTGCAAAAAAACTGCTAGTTTATTTATGTTTTTAGGGTTCTTATCATATATACATATGCTGTAGAGTTGATCATTAATTCAATTATTAATAATATATTAGAATTATCTGCAAATTTTCTTCAAAGTGGATTTAAAATTACCCTTGTTTTTTATTTTATTTTTTTATTATTATTTTTTTTTTATCTATTTAGTTGGTAGGCACACACCCATGCCTCTACTAAGACTCGAACCTTTGACCTTCCTTTGAGAAGTAGTGGTCTGGTACCGCTGGACTACTTGCCCGTTGGTTGATTTAAAAGTACGATTGTCTCTCGTGAATGTTTCGTAACTTCTGTTGCATCAAAAAGTTAAAAAAAAAAAATGTAAGTCCCAACTAGCTAGCCGTCGAAATTTTTTTTCTTTTTTTTCTTCTTCAAAGTGGATTTAAAATTTTGTCACCCAACTAGCGAGCAGTCGAAAGGATGGCCTTTCTGGTCACGGAAGAAAAGTCAGCCTCTAGGATACTTCTGAGTCTTCTTCTCTGATATTTCCTCAACTTTGTGGAACTCTAAAGTCTAAACTAACACCTTCAAGTATTGTTTGAACCACCCAAAATTTTAAAAACTAATTTTAGGTGCTAATTTCAAATATTATAAGTTAAGAATTTTATTATTTTTTAAATTTTTAGGTTTTCATTGTTCAATGAAAGCACTTAAATTTTTATTATTTTTTAAATCCTTATTGTGTATTCAAATATATTATAAAAACCTAATTTTAAGTGCTTGAATTTTAAATTAAGAATTTTTAATACTTTTAAAAATTGTGGGTACTCATTGTTCAATTCAAAGTAAAGTCTATCATTTAAAATTATACGATTTTTTAGCCCTTTGTTGAGTGGACTTCTCATATCTTATCCAAAGAAATTAGGATTAAGTGTAAAAAATCCTCCTTTACTATCGATAAAGTGCATATCAGTCCCTGTGTAGTAAAAAAACCCCCCTATACTATTAATTTGGTGCAATTGGGTCCCTAGTGGTGTAAAATGATGATAATACCCTCACTTCAGTTGAATAAATTAATAATTATAAATACAAGCATGTAAAATGACCCTTTTGTCCAAATTTGTATAAAATGGGGTTTGTTTGGAAGAAGGATAATATAAACCTCAAATTGTATAAAATTGGAATAACCTAAACCTAAATATAATTAAATTTAAAACCAAAACCTAAACCTCAAATTCTTTGGGGTTGTATGTATATATGCGTGTATGTACATTCTGTATACACACGTTTGCTTTTTTAATTAAAATTGGTGCTAATATTGTTTTGCTTATATAATAATTTAATAAATACATATAGGATAAATATTATATTTCTGTTACAAAATAAATAAATATTACATCTCTCCGGTTGTTGGGTTCTTTGGGTTTGTATATATATATATATATATATATATTCTATATATGCATGTTTGCCATTTTTAATCAAAATTGGTGCTAATATTGTTTTGCTACAATATATAATAATTTAATAAGTATAAGATAAATATTATATTTTTGTTAAAAAATAAATAAATATTACTCCATATATCCATACAAATTCTAAAGGTGAATCAAACAGAATTAGAATTCTAATATAATTAAAAAATAATAAATTGAACTAGAATTGTAATTTAATTCCATAACCAAACGTACCCACAGTCTTTTTTCTTTTCTTTTCTTTTTTTTCCCTTTTTTTCATTAATAGATAAAAGTTGCCTATTGATAAAAATAAAAAATAAAAAAAAATAAAAAAGGTATATTTTACTAGTGATGATAGAGTGAAATTTAATTTATTTATTTTTGTTAATGTTCTTTTTTTTCTGTTAATATTTTTTCTATATCTATATCAAAATATTGGCTGCTGACCACAGTATGGGGGGGCCTTTTATGCACAACGCTGAGGGACTTTTATGCACAAATGGTGAGGGGCAAAATGGGAAACAAAAGGGTAAAATGGGGTTTTAAGTTTTACTTTTTTGTAAAAAGTTATCAGAGGGACCGGTTATGCACCTTTTTTGAATTTTAAAGACTTGCATGCACTTTTTCAAAAAGTAGAGACTTGTTCTGCACAAAGTCTATATATCAGGGGGGGTTTTTGCACTTAACCCAAGAAATTATTATATGATTTCGGAACCTTTGATACTTAAGTAAAATATTGAATAAAGTACACAGACACATTTATTTAGGTGTCAAATAATGATTGTCCGTCACCGATGGCCCTAAAATCATGTAATAATTTCTCTTAAGACATGAAGATCTAGACTTAAGTATCAAGCTTTCAATTACAAACTACTCTAAACCAAAATTGGATCAATAAAGATTTACTAGTTTGTTTTAATCTTCTTAATTAGTATTTGTTAATACATCCTTCCGCCTCTAAAAATTGTTCCTTCCACTTGGAATCTTTCTCAATAATCTCTGTTATTCTGTTGTGTAAAGACCAGTTTTTGTTGAGTGTTCGATCAAACACTAGTTGTTCTCATTGAAAGATATATATATATATATATATATATATATATATATATATATATATATATATAGCATTTTTCTTCCAAAGGATGAATAAAAAATTAATATATTGTTATTATCTTGACTGAAGTGGGGAGTAGCCATGTTAGTCAAGATACATGTTAGTCAATATTTATGATATGTAACATCTTTTTACTATTTTCCTAGTGTCAAAATCGAAGTCAATTTTTTATTTTTTATATTTAAGAATCATGATATTTATTATTATTATTGCTGTGTGAGATTATTATTATTATTATTATTTTGGCAAAAAATTCAAACACAGTCATTTTGCCTCTTTGCGATTTGAACTTCTTTTGAGAGAGAAAAAACAAACGGAGACACCGAGTGAAAAAGATTGTGGCTTACAAAATAGCTATATACACATTGTGTTAGAACTTGGAAGGATCGGTAGAAACCAAAGAAGCACATACCAAGAGAACCAAATATATTGCCAGAGATCCAGAGAGTGCAAACTTCAAAGAGAACTGGTGGAAGATGGAAACATAACATCAAGTGCTGAAATTAATTGAAATCGGGAAGGAGAAAACACCTTTGAACAACTTGAAAATTGTTTATACATACATAGTAATTAATAGATAGATAAATCTTATTGAAATTCCCATTCAAACTAGTTGAAGCAAATTAAACACAACACTCAAAAGTAATAACATAACATATCACCTATTGAACTAAGCAAACAGAGTAATGAGGACGGCTGCAGTCTTTAAAATAGACAAATCCCCCATTGTGCACGAAGGGGTAGAGACCAAAGAGAAAACCAACCAATTATTGCTTGATATCAAACGAGAGTAAACTGCAAAAGGAAACTGGTGAAAGCTGGAAACATAATCTTGCTGCTGCAATTTATTTTTTTCCCTGTAAGGTAATAAGAAGTAAGGCCATCTGCAGCGCTATAGCCAAAGCCCATTTTCCGTGAGTGTGAATGGCCTTTGGGCGTGCAGCGGTATGGCTAAATTGGTGGGGCCCAATTTTGCTCACGGCTTGCTTGCGGTATTTAGCGAGCCGGCCCGCGATCGTGGAAATTTTTTTTTTTTGTTTTTTTTTTTTTGCGTCAAAACAGTGCCGTTTGCAACAAACATGTTTTGTTTTTTTCTCCTGCTACTGTAACCGTGCGCCAACAGTGCCTTAAGGCACTGTTTGGCAGATTTTTTTTTTTTTAAAAAAAAACCTAAAAATAGGTTATTTAGAGCTTTTTTTTTTGGAAAAAAAAAAAAATTTTCATTAAATAAAATATATATTGTTTAGGCATTGTTTGTCCAAAAAAAAAAAAAAAATTTTAGGCCAAGAATATATTAAAAACCTTTTTTTTTTTTCGTTTTTTCCTTTAAAATTTAGTTTTTTTTTTTTTTTGCTTTAAAATGTGGAAGCCAAATAGTGTATTTGGCCGTTAAGGCACTTTTTCTACAGTACCAAACAGTGCCTTAACGGCTATAATTTTAAAAAAAAAATTTAAAAATTCAAATTTTACCTTTTTTTTTTTTTTTGCCCTTAAAATTTGGTTTTCTTTATTTTTTATTTTTTGCTTTAAATTTTAAATGTGTAGGCCAAATAGTGTATTTGGCCGTTAAGGCACTGTTTCTACAGTACCAAACCTTAACGGCTATAGTTTTAAAAAAAAAAATTTAAAAATTCAAATTTTACCTTTTTTTTTGTTTTTTTCCTTAAAATTTGTTTTTTTTTTTAAAAAAAATTTTGCTTTAAATTTTAAATGTGTAGGCCAAATAGTGTAGTTGGCCGTTAAGGCACTGTTTATAGTGCCTTAACGGCTATAATTTAAATAAAAAAAAAGTTAAAAAATTCAAAATTTTTAACTTTATTCAAAAAAAAAAAAATTAAATTAAAATACTTATTTTCTTATTCCAATCTTAAAAAACTATTACATAATAAAAATAATAGTACACGAAATGTCATAACATCTTAATATAAAACAAAATGCAACATAAATTAAACATCTTCATTAGCATAGCGGTTCTACAAATTTTTCATCAAATCATTCATCAACCGCGTATTTGTCTCTCTGTTACGAATCTGAAGTTGGCGAGAGGATATGTGTACCGCTAAAACCGATGGGCATCAACTTAAAGTGGGAATCGGGATTGTATCCTCCGGTGGCAGAGTCCATCTTCCAACATTTGCGTGACGCTCATCTTCAATGATCATATTGTGAAGGATGATGCACGTTTTCATTATGAGGCGCAAGTCATCTTTCTCCCAGTAATGCACTTGTCCTTGCGTTATTGCCCACTTGATCTGCAATACTCCAAAAGTCCATTCCACATCTTTCCTTGCTGCCTCTTGTCGCTGAGCAAATAATTTTTCTTTTGTAGTGGTTGGATGCGGGATGGTCTGCATTAAAGTTGCCCACTTAGGGTATATACCATCAGACAGGTAATACCATTCTATAATGATGTCCATTCACTACATAATTAACCAGAGGTAATTGGCCATTGATGTGATACCCCTCGGATCCGAGACACGAGTTGATCAGGCCCAGACCCAAACCCGAAGAAATATCAAACAATCAATATGTAACCGAACACAGAAGACAAAGTGAAATAAGAAATAAAAATAATAAACTGAAGGAATGCTAATTTAAAATCCTCAAAATATAATTATTAAAATTCAATACTCTAAAACTCCATAAGTTTAACAACTCGGGAATCCATCCAGTGGACCCCTTATTAAAAATCCCAATAGAAACTAAAACATCAAAAACAGAATCTAAAGCTAAACATAGAAAGGATTCCTACGTAATCGGAGGAATGAATGTCTGTATCTGCACTGCACGTCCAAGCTCTAACTGTGGAATTGACGAACACCTAAAATATAAAAGAGTGGGTCAGGCCCACATGCAAGTCTTATTCTATTACAATCCATACAGTAATCCGATACGCAGATACATCCTAGAGAGCCCAACAATATCTAGAGTAGTCCATAGGTATATATAGTACACACTATAGGACGCTCGCTAGTCCAGTAGGTCTGTCTCAGCCTGAGTAGAGATACCATACAAATCGCACATAAAGTGGTCATGTGTACCTAAACCTACCAGGGAACAACACCTATATCCAGCTATCCATCATAGGCGATACACGTGCCCTAACCATGGTCCTGAGACTCAAGCTTATACCATGGCGCACCATATAATAAATATATAAAGTCCGTACTTGTGATACCCCCGGATTTCTGGATGCGGGTTGGCTAGGCCCACGCCCGATTACCCGAGGATATCAAATCAATTAGCAATAATCGAACACAGAATACAATTACGGAAACAGGAATAAATAAAAATTTGCTGAAAAGAAACTAGAATGATAAACCAAATACTGAAACCTCAGAATAAAATTAAATTAATAAAGAATTATTCTGATACAACCAAATTCTCCATTTCTAATACAACTCGGGAATCCCTCTGGTGGACCCCTAATAAAAATCATCACTGAGAAATGAACCACCGAAAAAGAATCCAATGCTAAACCATACAGGAAACGCCTACGTCGTCAGAAGAATGAGAAGACGTCTCTGCTCAGCACGAACAAGCTCTAAGACTTGGAACCGTCCGTTACCTGAAAAATAATAGTGGGTCAGGCCCACGAACAAGTTCTATCCTAACTACAATCCAAACAGAGACCCGATACGCAGATACATCCTAGACGTCTCAAACATATCTATATAGTCCGTAATAGATAAATATATATCCACATTACAGGACTCTCACTAACTATGCTGAGGGTCTCAACCTGAATAGAAGGTAACATGTAATACGCACCTGAGTGGGCATGACTGTCTAAGCCTAACAGGGTATACCTCAACCAATATAGCTAGCTACGCATCCTACTGCATATACGCACCCTAACCGTCGACTATGAGACTCAAGCTCAAATCGCGGTACCATAATTTATATATATAAATTCCCATCCAAACCAATGTAGTGCCGCTCAACTAATTCGTTGCCATGACACGACATAAAATTAGAATTTAAATGTTTTAATTAAATCCCTACTCCAATTATATATATAAGTTTCTTCCAAATACAATGTTGTGCCGGTCAATAGTTCATTGGTCAAGACACAACATATAATCAAGATTTAAACGTTTTAGTTAAAACCCTATCCATCCTAACGCAGAAATATAAACAACCATCCAGTATGTCATTCAACTGTTTTAATTGACAGGATATGAAATCATGTAGGATGTAATACCCCTAATTTTAAAAGGATAGTCTCGGTATTTATTTATTTATTTTTATTGTATTTTTTTAATTGTTTAATTGATTATTTGACTAATTGTTTATGTGTTTAATTGAATTAAGTGTTACTTGATTAATTGGCTACTTATCTATGTGTTATTTGTATTTTGTCTAGGTGTTATTTGTATTATTTGTTTAATTAGATTGTGTGCTTAAATGATGTATTTGATTAATTGTAATTAATTATAAATTAAATGATTAAATGTTTTATTTTATTTTATTTTATGGTTATGGTTAGTGGTAATGGGCTAACTAATTGGGTCCCATGAACTACTTGGATAGGTGGTTGGATGGGTATGGATAATTACCCATGGATAGTTGTATATGTATATATATAGATATATATGTATATACATATATATAAAAAGGAAAGTAATTTATTAATATTATAGTAACTTTAGTATTAATAAATAATCTGATGTATATATTTCATATATTTATATAATAAGGATATACATATATTTTATACGTAACATGTTTTAAGTTACCTTTTTAATATTATGGTAACTTTAGTATAAATAAATAATCTGATGTATATATTTTATTTATTTAATGAGGATACAGATAGATTACATACGTAACATGTTTTAAGTTACTTTTTAATATTATGGTAACTTTAGTATAAATAAATAATATGATGTATATATTTTATTTATTTAATGAGGATATAGATAGATTATATACGTAACATGTTTTAAGTTACCTTTTAATATTATGGTAACTTTAGTATTAATAAATAATCTAATGTATATAATTTATTTAATTAATAAGGATATATATAGATTATATATTTAACCTATTTTAAGTTACCTTTTTAATATTTTTATTTTTTTATTTTTCTTTATTAAGCTGACTTGGATTGGAAAAAGGAATAGGGTTATTATTTAGCCTATAAATACACAACTATAGGTTGAAAAAGGAGTGAAAATATATTACGTAATATATTCTAGAGAGAGAGAGTTAGAGAGAGAAGGAGAAAGAGGAAGGAATGAGGAGAAAACCCTTTAGAGAGAAGATCAAGGAAGAAGAAGTTTAACTTTCAATCTGAAAGTTTAAGGCAAGTTCTTCTTCTATCTCTTTCCCTTTGATTCGTGTTTCTGTACATGCCTAGGAAATTCCAGGATTTATTAAACACATAAAATTAAATAATTATGCATGTTTAATTGGGTTAGAACATAGGTTTTATGAAATTGGTTCATATCTGTTCTTGCGTTATGAATTGATAATATGCATGATTTGATTTGATTTCTTATGTGAATTTTTACATGTTTAAATTATGTATTTTTTTCATATCTGTGGAATGATGGAACGTAGAAACATGCCTAGGATTCCTGAACATTAAATAGGGACTAGGTTTGGGTTTTAATAAATTTAAATAGACTCAATCATAATGATGCTTGCTATTTGAATGTTTTAAACAAACGAATGGATTTAATCTTTTAAAATATTTTAGCAATTGAGATTAAATGTGTAGGATGAATTGGATATAGAGAATCCTTATTTAACAGTATAATAAAATATCGTCATGTATAAGATTCAGTTTGTGTATGACATATGATATAGGAAGTTTAAAGAAATAATAAGTCATTCATATTATGTGATAACTTGATATCATATTTATCATAGTTATTTATGGAATGTTTGATGTATTTCCTTAATTGTTACATCAATTGTTGGATTGTGTGGTTTAATGCACCGGTATGGGACGGTGGCATTCTAGGGATCGATTAACTTATCAGTTAAGTCCTACCTATTTTATATAAGGGAATGGATTAACAAAAATGTTAAGTCCTACTTATATTTAAGTCAGGTCAGCTGAACAAGTTGAATGACTTATGGAGGATTAATTTATTATATAAGGGAATGGATTAACTAAAATGTTAAGTCCTACTTATATTCAAGTCAGGTCAGCTGAACAAGTTGAATGACTTATGGAGGATTAATTTATACTGGATAGGATGGTTACTAGATTTTATATATATAAGTATGGTGCCATGATATGAGCTTGAGTCTCAGGATCAATGGTTAGGGCGCGTATATCGCCAGGGATGTGTAGCTAGATATAGTGTAGTTGTGTACCCTGGTAGGTCTAGGTACTCATGCTCACTATATGTGCGTTTTGTATGTTGCCTACTGTTCAGGTTGAGACAACCCTATAGTCTAGTGAGGTTCCTTTAGTGTGTATACATATATATATACGGATTACTAGTTACTGTTGGATTGACTAGGATGTATACGTGTATCGGATCTCTGCTTGGACTGTAGTAGAGTAGAACTTGTTTGTAGGCCTGACCCACCATTATTTTTCAGGTGCTCGTCACGAGTAGAGGTTGTTCGTGCTGAGCGGGGATCAGTCTACTTCATTCTTCTGATGCTACATAGGAGTTCCTTTATAATTCAGTTTCCTGTTTTAGATTACTGTCATTTGTTTAGTTTGGATTTTCTAGGGGTCCACACAGTATGGATTCCCGAGTTGTATTTTGGAGGATCAGTTGTATCAGAAGAGTTTATTAATTAATGGAAATATATTATGAGGTTCATTATTAGATTATCATTTTAGTTTCTTGTCAGCATTTTATTTATTCTTCTTTATTCTTTTGTACTCTGTGTTCGTTTATTATCAATTTGTTTTGATATCCTCGGGTATTCGGGCGTGGGCCTGGCCAACCCGCATTTGAAAATCTGGGGGTATTACAATTTAACTATTTTAGTTAATCCATTCCGTATGTATGAATGGGTTGGAATTAGTGTTTTGATCTAATCCGTCCCTCCGTATGTCACCGTCCCATACCGGTACATACCATGCATATGATCCGTAAATGATGTAACATTTTATATAGTACATCAAACACATCCATATAATCCAAATAGATAATAAACAGAATTTAAATAGTTCATCATTTATAATCCAGAATCCATCCATGTAACTAACAAAACAAGATTTAATAATTCATCAAGTTCATTATCCAGCATCCATCCAAGTAATTGAAAAAAATATACATAATTAATTCTTCAATTAATTCCAGGCCAACCTCCAGTTAGGTTAACGAAACCTAAATACTAATTCAGCAATTTAAGTCCAAACCCTAATCCCAATAATTGTTGTGTAGTGCTTAATATTACAGCAGTTACAATCCCAAGCTTAATTCCATGTATCGCAGTACAGAATTAATATTTTCAACAATTAACATCTAAGGTATGCATAGATCAAACATGATATATAAATGACCCCGCATGCAACCAAAATAAGATTTGTGATAATCCGTTAAATTGCTAAAATTAAATTAGGCCATTAAACCCCTTCCATCCATTAACAGCCGGCACCGCTGTATACTTTCCTATGATTAAATCCAAGAGTACCAAATCATTAATTTATTTAATGTGGCTCTAGTATAGCCTAATATCATGCTTAGAGTCCATGTTACAATCCGTTTTTAAAACAAGATTTAGCAATTTAGTCTTTCCTATCCGTTAGCAGTGTACTAATTTACTTATTTTTACACGGTTTATTCTATTTGCCCTATGGACCAAATTATACAATTAGAAGGATTAAAATCCATTAAAAGTACTTTTAGAATCTTCATTCCAGTCCCTGAAACCATGTAAAATTCCAAACAACGCCCAAACAGTGTCCATACAGTGCCCCAAACACGTCCAAACACCACACAACCAAAGGAGCCTGCTCTAAAATCTTGGAGCAGGCTCAAAACACTTTAGAGCCGGCTCCTTTATCCCTTGGAGCTGCCTCTATGAAGGGGGGAGCCGGCTCCAACTTCCTGGAGCCGGCTCTCTCCTCCTTTGAGCCTACTGTTCCGCTTCCTGCTTCGTTTTGAATCATCTGCTTCATCTCCGGCCTCCTCCTACCCTTCTGTTCTTCTTTAAGACAATTTTAACAGTCTAATATTTATACAAAGACGTCCCAGTACTTAGTTTACAACAGTAAGTACCACAACAATGATTAAAATAAAAACAGTTTCATGCTATAAAACTAACAACGGAAAACAGAGGTGCAAGGAAAACTTCAGACATATTGTAAACATATACAGATGATTAATTTGGCATATAATAGGCATGCAAAAGCTCAATTAATATTTAATTAACATCCTAGAGACCATCTAAGAGTGCACAGAACACAGGCCAAGGGGAAAGAGACAGAATAGAACTTGCCTTAACCGTCTCTGAATTTTCCAATGAAATCTCCGACGACCGTTCCACCTCTGTTGCTCTTGGTTTTACTCACAAGCCAACCTCTGCTCCTCCTCCTCCTTGGTTCAGCCCTAGCCTAAGGCAAAACCCTAGACTTTCTCCCTTTATCTCTCTCTGTAATTCTCCCTGTAACTCTCTGTTACTCTCTCTGTTTTTCTCTCTATCAACACTGTACGTATATAAGGTTCTCAACCCTTTTTGAAGACATACTACAGTATATATATAGGCACTAATCAAAACCCTAAGCCTAATCTTAATCCACCATAGAAAACCTAATTGAGGCCCAGTTTAGTCGGCGTGAGATAATAAGAGACTAAACCCTATTTTTTCATTACAACTAGGAATATTCCATTAATCCAATTAATTCCATTCAAAAACCAATAAAACATTTACACGACTAAAAACTATTTAATTTAATTAAAGAAAATAAAAATACAAAGAAATAATCAAACAAGTCAATTAAATAACAATTTATCAATTAAATCAATTAAAAATACAAGTAAAGAAAATAATCTATTTAAATCCACAAAATAAAACAAACACTTAATTTAAAATAAAATCAAACACATAAACAATTTGACACATAAGCACCTTGCCACAAAATCAAAAGAAAATTGCACATAGAACAAAATTTAAACTCCAATCTTATCCTTTTGAAAACTAGGGTTATTACAGTACTTCTCCTAATACAAAATACCATCCATCTGTGTAGTGGTCTAATATATGTATAATCATCCGTCCTAAAACCACATTAAGTCATTCAACTATTTTGTCGACATGACACAAATAGGTGATGGACTTAACCGATATTGTTAATCTGTATCTTAATCCAAATTAGGTAAGACTTAGTGTTTGAACTAGTTCATACCTAGTATATCACCGTCCCCATACAGGTACATACAATTCTCCAGTTAACAAAGTTAACAAAACAGTAATAGATATTTATCAACCATACTCCAGAATTAGCATAAATATAGTCTAACATGTATATGACAAATTATGCATCCAATATAAGATTTAGAAATCATATTCCAGTCTTTCAAATTTACAAAGTAAGACTACACATTTAACACCTCCAAACAATACCATAACTAATGCATTTAAACAGTAGATTTAAACATCAATTAATTCCATCCAAGCATATTTATTTTTCCAGATAAATAACTATATACTTATAACACAGCTGAGACATGATTAACAATTTTAAATTATGTGACAGAAATCAAATTGCTTTAGAAAAACAGTAAGCAGTTTCAATGTATAATCCAACTTCCCACATATAGGTTTATTGTTTAACCTTATATTACTTCCTGCGTCAACATATTAACATCCACATGATTCCCAAGAGTATTTACAAGTCTATAACAGGTAATAATCTTCATTCATAGCAACTGGAAGCATTTAGAAACAACCCCAACTGTCCAAACCAAACCCAGAACACGAAAAACCAAAGAAAAAAGGGTTGAGCCGCCTCCTAAAACAAAGGAGCCCGCTCTCCCCTTGGTGGAGCCACCTCTACCTTATGTGGAGCCGGCTCTACCCCTTGTAAAGCCTGCTCTACAAGCCCTAGAGTCGGCTCCCTCTTTTGGTGAGCCGGTTCTCCTCCTTTGAGAGCCGTATCCCCTAACCTGTTCGTCTTTTTCGCCTCAGGCAAAATTCAGAGCCACTGTACAATTTTTATAACTTATTTTAGGATTCAATTGATGTCCTAGAATTAATTATAGGCATGCATCCAATCCCAAATATACCAAAGTTAAGCAAGATTAAAACTAATGCAAACAGATTTATGCAATGATTTAAAATTTGTTTCAAACATGCTTACAAGATTAATATTAACTTCAATTTAATCTGTTTTAATACTTGATTAATCCCTGGAGTCTAACTAGGCATGCACAGAACACGAATTAAAGGGAAGGAATAGAATAGTGACTTGCCTTGAGTTTCAGTTTTGAAACTCTAAACCACCGTCTCTGAAGCTTCCGTCCACGTTCGAGACTCCTGTTCTACAACTCCGATGCTCTTGGTTCAACCCAGAAGCACTCCATCCAGTTATCCTTGAACCTCTCTAGAAATCTCTCAAAGTTCTCTCCGTCTCACCGTAGTGAATATGGTTTTGTGTGTTACCCTAAACCAACGTATAATACTGTATTTATAGATTTTAGCACAACCCTAATTCTAATACAAAACCAACCCTAAGTCGGCTAAATCCCTCGTATGATTAATTAAAACTCAAATAAAACCCTACATCTAATATACATAGCAACCAAAACACGGACAACAGTTAATTTAAAAAATAATTTATTTATATAGTCACATAAGCAGATACTTAAACCAGTCACAAATTAATTAAACAAAATGCCAGTTAAATAAAATAAAATAAAACAAATAAATAAAACACACAATTCAATGAAAAATAAACAATTAAACAAATAATTTAGTAAAAACGCACTTAAATAAATAAATTAAATGTCATGACTGTCCTTTTAAAATTAGGGGTATTACAATTGACGATACCGTTGAATACCGAGGAATGATCCAACACATTTATATTATTGTCTGAACCCGGCATTCCGGAGAATGCATACTAGATCCATAAATCTTGTGAGGCAACTGCTTCCAATATAAGAGTTTTCTTACCAGATCGTCCCTTATGTGTGCCTTGCCACTCCACTGGGCAATTCTTCTACTCCTAGTGTATACAGTCGATAGAGCCAAGCAAACCTAGAAATCCTCTCTGCTCCTCTTCTTCAAGCAGCCGTGCTATGTCAGCTTCGTTGGGTGGGCGCATATACTCCTCTGCATACACAGCAACAATAGCATTACAAAATGCCTTCAAGCATTTAATGGCAGTGCTCTCGCCGATTTTAATATACTCATCATAGTGATCGGCTGCACAACCATATGCGAGTATACGAATAGCAATTGTCATCTTCTGTATAGAAGACAACCCCAGACGACCAGTCGCATCCTTTTTTTGGACAAAGTAGTCATCATAAGCTTTGACATCATTAAGGATACGAAGAAAAAGTTCTCTTCGCATCCTGAATCGCCTGTGAAAGTACTCCGGTGGATATGTGCAATTGTCGTTGAAGTAGTCTTTCATTAACTGATAGTGGCTTCCCTCTCGGTCACGATGAATGTATCGCTTCTTTTTACGGACTGGAAATACTTGCTCAACTATTTCTGGCCTCACTGAATTCATAATCTCATAGAATTCGTCTTGATCTTGTTGAATCAACACCCCAAAAGGATCATCTTCCGAAGAGGATGACGAGGAAGATGAAGAATTAGAGTAAGCTAAATGAAAAGCTTATGATGATGAAACCATTCGAATTTCAAAATTGAAAAAGATAGATGATGATATTTTGCTACAATGGAGAGATATGAATATAGTGATGATTTTTAGATGAGCAAATGAGTTTCATTATATAAGATAAAAAATATAACCGTTACAAATATAGCCATTAAAAATATAGCCGTTACAAATATAGTAGTTTAGGAAAAGTTAAAATAATAATAATAAAAATAAAAATAAAAATAAAAATTGAATTTTTTATTATTATTATTTTAGATCGAAAATTCGGAGAGCCTGATGGAATGCATGTTTCTTAAGCGCGAAAACTGCTGACATGGCTCTTAGAATTGTTTATGTGGCTCTTGAAAAAGCTAATATGGCGTTTTTAGAGAGCCAAAATCCGGAGAGGTTGGTGCAGATAGCCTAAGTTGCATTAATGAAATATGTGTGTGTGTGTATATATATATATAAATGGGTGTACATATATAAAAAAAAAAAAGAAAAAAAAGGAGCAAAGTCCAAAAACCCAAGAAAACACCATTGACCAACTTGGATGACCCAAAACAACCAAACAAGGATAAAGAGAGCTCAAAGTCATGGCCCAAAAAATAAGATGAGGTAACTGCCATTATGTTTGGAACCACATGGGCTTTAAATTAATGGGGTTCTCAGTGAATTTTGTGTGGAAGGAGTTTAGGGCTATTTGGTTCATGATGAATGTTTAGTAGGTATGCAACTTGGGTAACCCGATCTCAATCCGAGCCCATTTTTTTGAGGGCTTAGGCAATTATTTTTACAATTATAGTTGGGTCTGTGTTGAAAAATCTTAACCCGAATTTAATTAGAGTCGGACTTGGGTTGAGGTGTTTGCAACCCAAGCCAACTAGAACCCAAACCCAAATTCTAATATTAATTTCATATATATTTTTATTTTAAATACATTATATATAATATTTAAACTATGATTACCTTTTTCTTTACAACTTCCTTGGTTAAATTTGAACTTATTGTATGTTAGCATTTAGGAGAATTAATTTTATAAGAATTTGTTTATAATTTATTAAAAATGTACAAAAAGTATTTTAAACATTTTTTTGTTTAAGAGTAATTTAATATAAAACTAATTCAAAATCATATTAAATTTTTGGTCTGAAGATTAACCATATGTGTAACTCGAATTAACCAGAAATCAAAGTCCAAGTTACAAATCCGAATTTATAAGTAGAAAGATGGGTTGGGCTCGGGTTGAGCAGTTAAAGTTGAATATAGGGTTATGATTGGACTTGGGTTTAACATTTCATATGATGAGTTGGATTCAAATTATACATCAAACTCGCTCAACCCACCCGAGTTGCAACCGTCTAATAATTGAAATGGGACTAAGCACTTTAATAAATAGAGTGAGAATTTAATTTCAACTATGTGAATTTATTATTCTCTCACTCAATTCCCATTTTTCTTGCACAAATTTGAAGCCATAACAATAATTGTTCACTTTCTTACCCGATCCTCATTTCTCTCTCACAGAAATAGCTGGGGCTAAAAAATCACGATCTGAAATGATTAGGGCTAAAAAATCATGGTCTCAAGCACTTAAGACTGAGTTGATTAGGGCTAAATCTGTAACCATAACGACCATGGATAGAGCTGGGGACGAAGTTTTTCCATTCAATTAAGCATTTGGTTCAAAGCATCATGTTCTTAGCAGACGCAAGAGCAACTTAATTCCCAAAGAGTAATATATTAAGATGGGCCCATGCACTTAACACATAGACTCCGTAAATGCCTGGACCAAAATAGCCTCTGCCTACTTTTCATCCCCACTGTGCACAATTTCAGTTCATTTGTCTTCCACTGTGAAAGAACTAATGCTTCCAAGAAAACAAATGAAAAAATTCTCAAAGAAAGAAACTAAAATCTCATATATGAAATGGTATTAAAAAAAAAAAAAAAAAGCATAGTAAATTGTAAGCTTCTTATTATCTGATTGAATAAAAAAACAGAACAACACTAAAAAAAAAGTAATTGAACAAGATTGTATCATTAAAATAGACAAATCCCCCATTGTGCGCGAAGGGGTAGAGACCAAAGAGAAAACCAACCAATTATTGCTTGATATCAAAAGAGAGTAAACTGCTAAGGAAACTGGTGGAAGCTGGAAACATAATCTTGCTGCTGCAATGTATTTTTTTCCCTGTAAGGTAATAAGAATTAAGTTGCATTATATATATATATATATATAGGTGCGTGTACGCACAAAAAAAAAAAAAAAAAAAAAAAGGAGCAAAGTCCAAAAACCCAAGAAAACACCATTGACCAACTTGGATGACCCAAAACAAGGATAAAGAGAGCTAAAGTCCTGTCCCAAAAATAAGGTGAGGTAAGTGCCATTATGTTTGGAGCCACATGGGCTTTAAATTGAAGGGGTTCTCAGTGAATTTTGTGTGGAAGGAGTTGAGGGCTAAATAGAGTTATGTTAAAAATTAATGGTCCAAATTTTTTGAAAAACGTAAATTGATTATAAGTATGATGTATACAGAACTCCAATTGAAACTCTCCATACATTTAGACTCTAGAGTACCTAGTAGTTTTAAGTAAATTAACCACACCAATGAATGTTTAATAGAAATAACATTAAAAAAAAATCACCTGTTGAACTAATCAAAACAGAGGAATGAGGGTTGCCGCAGTCTGTATTAGAGTGAGTAAAAGGAGCACAACAGCTGCAACGGTAGAAATACCTGCCCATGGGTTGTTGAAATAGTTGCGCCTTAACTTCGCCATGGCTTCATTCCAAGGTTTTTCACAATGGTGGTTCACATTTTTGCATACATTTGAGTAATAGAAATTTGGTGGAATTACTACTCCATCACCCAGTTTATTAAACATAAGAGCCACCTCCTTATCATCACCCAACATGTTCTCTATAATTCCGCAGAGACGAAGCGCATTCGCATCGTTTCCCGTATGGATAAGAAAATCCATAATGGATATATAATCTGTGAAATATTTGTGGTCGTCAAGAGAGGAATGCTGCTCGTAGGCAACAATGTTACGCAAGAATGTCTCTGTTACATCATTCACCTTAAATTTAGGAATTTTCATGCGACCGTTCTCGAAGCGTATATCAAAAATGCCAACATCATCACTTTCATTTACTTCGAAGCTAATACCAGCCTCTTGAAGCTCTGTCACACAAGACATTCCCACACAATATTTATCCTTTCTAGACGAGGGAAGATAAAGCCTATGCACCAAGTCAAGAAAGTGCTTGCTTTCACCAGCAGCAGATGTTTTCTCAATTAGTTCCTTGGTTTTGGTTTCGGAATATTGTTTGGGTAACATCATACTGACGGGAAACAAAGCTGCCATCTTGATGAGGGTCACAGGTCTGTAACGAGCTCGGATAAGGTCAAACAATTCAGAGAGAACGAAGAGGGGAATCTGGTTCTCAAGCAACATGAGGTCTCGGCCGATTTGTAATTTCATCCAAGTTGATCTGAGAATAGGGTCATCCTCTTGTAAATGAGATTTGCAAAGAAACTCGATAACAAAGCAAGCATCAAGGAGTAACATTTCCACAAATTTCTTTCTGTCGAGACATATGGGGTCTGCGTAACAGACTTGAGCCTTATCCGCCAATTTCTCCATTCGCAGGAGGTAAGGCTCCACATTGATGGTGCCAATATCAATATTGTCATTGATGCGTTGAAGATAGGAACGCAAATAACGCAACTTATGTTCTTTCATTGCACTAAAGTTGGGGTTTTCATGGTGGTAAGGACCTATGGATACCAGTGTGGGCGTGTACGCTTTTTCATTGACGCTGCGTAGTCCCTGGTGCACTTTGAATATACAAGCAGCAGGTTCAGGGAGTGGTGGCCGCAATTCACGAATCCGGATCTGTATACATTCCGCTGTTTCCTTAATTTCACTTGAAACACTAGAAGATTTTGAAAGATTTCTACTCGAATCAAATTTATGATCCGTCAAATCTGGATCAACTTCATTATAATCCATCACTCTCGTACCCTGTATCACCAACAAATTATAATTCATATATGAGTCTTGCAAACACCAGGAAAATGCATGTAAACAAACTATTTTCACACACGTCTGTGTATATATTTTGGATGCAAATCAGGGGAACAAAATATGCCAGAACCAAGTGAGATTCTTTTTAATTTACATACGGAGTATTATTTTTCTTTTAAATTGAAGCCAGAGCCAACACTTTCAGTTGTTCACAATTCTTAAAGTTGTATACACATCATCAAGATGGAAACTTAATCATTGACTGGTGTGGTGTGATAGCCCAGTTGGTAGGGTGTTGGTGTTTGTGGTCCAATGACCCAGATTTAAGTCCCCATCCCATATATATCAGTTGTTTTAACTTTCAAAAAAAAGTTCAATCATTGGCCAAATAAAAAATGATTTCAAGTTACTAGAATAATTTTTTTTTCCCCCTAAAACTGAATTTTTCGTATTGACTGTTTGCGGCGACATCAAATTTTGTCACCAAAGGACAAAATTAGTTCCAACGAATTAATAACTTTATCATCAAAGTTGAAATATTTACAGATGAAAGTTCCATTGCAAACACTTTCCATATTTGCAACAAATGTATACTTTTTTTTTTCTTTTTGCTTGAAAGTAATAAAAGTAGACTTCATCATATAAACAAATGTTTTGTGACAGCTAGAAAAGCTCTCCCGAAATAATTTACTCACTCCATCTCAAAAAATTTATCCATCTTTCTATTTTGAAATATCTCAAAATACATATTTCATTCCAAAAATAGATGTACTATTTTTTTATTATATTCTAAAATATATCTTTGACATTAACTTTTTTTTTTTTCTTTTTCGGTAGGTTCTGTTTGACATTAACTTGATTAAACAAAGTGCACTATTTTTTTTTTTTTCAAAGGTAAGAAGGGTTAGATGTTATATTAGGAGATGTAGAGGGTGGAAGTCTCCCACTCCAATTTTCATGAGAGACACTAATTCACTAGGTTATCGAGGAAATTGCAAAAGTGCACTAATTATAATCGAACAAAAATAAAAAAATACATAATCTCATCCATTTAAAAAAAAAATCTCATCCATTCCTTCTCATCTCCCTTCCATTTAACTTTTTGCTTTCCTACCAAAAGGAATATAAGGCATAATAACGACACGAATTGATGTAACTACAACACCCTTGTGTTTTTAGCCACGAACTTTTTGTCATGGGTAAAAGTTGTGACAGAAAGGAAGTAATTTTTGTCTAAGTTTGGGCTTCTTTAGCTCTTGTTGAGCCTCTTTCGGCTTCTTGTTTCTTTCTACTACTATAAATGTTCTCTTCCTTTCATGATCAGGGCCCTCTTTGGGCCCAATTGTAACCTATATTTTATCTATATATTTGCTTCAACGTTTGAAAAAAAAAGCAAGTTTTTGCCTTTATCGGTAAAAAAGAAAAAAAAAAAAAGGAAAGAGAAAATAAAACACGTCAAACACTAACAAAATTTTTGAAAGGCCTCACTTACCTTAGCTTCAGCAATCCCCTTTGCTCCTGTCTCCTCGAACTCACTCATCCTCAACTGGTTTCTAGCTGGGGCATCCAATGCTACTTTAGGCTGCCCTTTGTCTTTGGACTGTCTTTATCAGCTGGTGTCGGGACAATCATCAGCTTCTCTTGTACAGCTTTTCTTTAAGCTTAGCTGGTTAGGTTGAATCAACTAAAAAAAAAAAATTTAATTTTTTTGAAGTTTGGAAACTTTGGATAATTGGAAAAAGAAGCTTAATGAAAATTTTTGTTTCTGTACTTATTTTCTCTCAAAACTTTTCCTCCCTTAAAACACAGGGAAATAATATTTTCTGTGTCTTTTTATTTGACATTCATATTTTACCCATTAACTTAATCACGCAAAACAAAGTCTTTCTTTATTTTTTTTACTAATTTCAAAGAGGCAAATTCTATGCAAAACAACTATTTCTTTGTTTTCTCATAAGTTCATATATAATTGGCAACAACAACATGCAATCAAATCCCTCTTATAATTTAGTATCCTCTTTTTTTTCTTTTTCTTTTTCTTTTTGTTTCTCTTAAATTAATAATTAGTTCTACTTCTACCTAAGAAAATATTATGAATTCTTATTTTAAATAAAAATAAAATATAAATAATTATATTATTAAATTTAATAATCCATCATTTTACTATTTCTTTACTAAAAATAGACATCATCAAATACAAACTCATTTATTTTAAAGTATTTGAAATCATAAATGTAATTTTGGTATGTTCAATCACTTTCTTTTCACTTTCATACTATCCAAAATAACAAATTAATATTTTCTTATAATTTTCTTGAATAAATTTTCATACTAAATGCATGCTAGAAAATAATTTTTATTTTCATTCACTTCACTTTTCTTTCATTTTTCAATTCTTTTCTTTTCTTACTTATTTCCATCTAACTAAACGAAGCCTTATATTTATTCACCGTTGAAAAAACAAAAACAAAGATTCTATGATTTAAATTTATATGCAACACAATGCATGCGAAATAAAAAATAAAAAAATAAATAAAAAATAAATTATTATTATTATTATTACGAAATAGCACATAAAAAAAATTAATTAAAAATAATATAAAAATTATTCATTTATTTTAGGATTTAATTCATTTACATCTCTTGTGTTTTGTCAATAATTCAAGGAGACCTCTCATATTTATAAATCTTCAATCAGACCCTATATCTGTCAATGCCAAATGAGTTGTTTTGAAATCTATCTAACCAAACACTGCCCTCAATAAAATAATATATATATACATATATATATATATATATATATATATATATATATATATATGGTTTCCATGGCCACCTTTGCACTGTCTCCTCTCTTTCTCTTCCTACACTCTGTCTCGCTACAGACCCATGCCTCCGTGGAGGTTCGAACCCCTAACCTCCCTTTGGGAAGTAGGGACTTGGTACCACTAGGCCACAGGCCTGCTAGTAAATATATATATATATATGGTAAGTGTAAAAAACCCCCTTGAACTATTAGTTATTTAGCAAAAAACCTCTCTAATCTAATAATTTGGCATATAACCCCCTGAACTAACCATTTTGTTGCAATTAACCCAGTCCGGTGATCAGCCGGTTAAATTTAACCGTGAAGAAGCACATGACGAGTCATGTGACAACCCAAATTTCTCTAAATGACCATACAACCCTTTATGAAGCTAAAAGACCACAATGCCCCTTCTATTACCATTAAATCCTAAATAGGTCAGAACCCCTAAATTCCTCATTCTTCATCCCTATCATCAAGATTCTACTTCTCTCTATATTATATCCAGCCATATATACGTATATATACACACCCCTATCATCAACCACCTACATCAGCAACTCCGGTGCCCTTGAAAGTTTCTGATTCTTTCTCTTTCTATATTATATCCATCATGACTACATACATACACACACACACACACATATATATATATATACATACACACACACACACACACACACACAAACCCTCATCGTCAACCACCACCCCCATCGTCATCTTCAACCCAAACCGCAAGGACAGTTAAACTTGACCCCAAATGAATCTACTGTTGCTATTTCATGATCTTTAATTTCTCCAAAAAAAATAATAATAATAACAATAATAATAATAATAATTATTATAATAAATCAGAAGTTGGGTCAATGCATCCTTGACTGAACAGCTTCTGATTTGAAGGGAATTCTTGAAGACGAATCAAATTTATAAGCTCTTATATACACCTAAAAATTCCTAATTTTTTAGAACCTAAATTGAGAAAATCCCAAAAAAATTCAATCCATGGACACATGAAAACATAAAACACTGTCAATTGTATAAAATATAAATAAAATTGAAAATTTCTGAATCATTATGCCCCAGAATTCCTTGGCTGTTGGTGGAGATGGATGGCGGGCAAGAATCGGCCAACTGTGGAGAGCTTGGTTATTAGCTAAACCGTGCAGAGCTTGGGGCGGTGAGCAGCGGGTTGTGAATGGTGAACTCGCAACTGCTAGGTCAGCTTTAATGGTGTCGACTGTGATGGAGGCGGCGGTGAGCTCAGAACGGGGAGGTCAGCAGATGAAACGAAGCTCGGCACTGAGCTTGCGGCGGTGCTCGGAACACGAACGACAGTGTGCTCGGCCGGTGGAGACGGCTGTTTCGGGATGACAACGAATTAGCGACTAAAGAAGTCGTGATTCTGGTGATAGGTTGTTATGAAGAAGCTCGGCCATGATTGGGTTTGATAGCGGCCGGCAGGACTGAACGGCTGCGAGCTTGGCTTCGAATAATGGCGGCCAGTAGTGGAGAGTATGGTGGAGTGAACTCAGCCGTGATGGAGCTTGGCTTTGACATCGACGGAGAGCTCGATGGTCTTTGTTTAGCAGAATGAATGGCCTTAATTAGGATTTAAGTCATATGTTTGAGTGGCTGTATTTAGGTCATGTGGCTTAATTGGCCCTATTTGGGTTTGGGTTGTTTTCCCTAGGTTCGGACTTGGACTCGATTTTGGGGTTAAGGCTCTTGTACAGTTACCTTCCGAAAAAAATAAAAAATATAAATAAAAAATTTGTGGTTACTGAAATTTTTAGTGAAACAACATAGTTTTATATAAGGGGTAAAATTATCTTTCACTATTTCCGTTATAACCAATTGGCCGGAGATGTTACATCGGGGATTAATTGCAAAAATTCAATAGTTGAAGGGGGCAAATTATAGTTGAGGGGGTTAATTGCAGATGGCCAATACTTCAAGGGGTTTTTTTCACTTTAAAATATGTATATTTGTCTCATTATGATCCAAACCCACACCACCAGAGAGAAAGTAGGAAGTAATGTCGACGATATGTAAGGAGCGGCGGCGATGAAGCGGTGGGCAGCCGACTAAACTGGTGTGGATGTGGTTCAGCCACGTCACCAAGGGCTAGGTCAAGACGACCCCACTATAATACTATCTTCGAGCAAGAAGACAAACGGTCAAAACTTAGACAAAAGCCACATTAGCAAAGCAAGTAATAGTCGACCACTGGACTTCGAACCTTAGCCCAACTCAACAGTCGGTCGATGGGCCTTGAACCTCGGTCCGAACCTAGTCACGAACTGTCAATCGATGGGCCTTGAACCTCGATCCGACCCCACCACAAACCGTCGATCGACGGGCCTTGAACCTCAATCCAACTACTCCATAAACTGTTAATCGACGGGCCTTGAACCTCCATCCGACCTCGCCACAAACTGTCGATCGACGGGCCTTGAACCTCGATCCGACCCCGTCACAAACTGTCGATCGATGGGACTTGAACCTCGATTCGACCTCGTTACAAACTGTCGATCGACGAGCCTTGAACCTCGATCTAACCCTGCCACAAACTGTCGATTGACGGGCCTTGAACCTCGATCCGACCAAGCCATAAACTGTCAATCGATGGGCCTTGAACCTCGATCCGACCACGCCATAAACTATCGATTGACAGGCCTTGAACCTTGATCCGACCTCGCCACAGACTATTGATCGACGGGCCTTGAACCTCGATCCGACCCCGTCACAAACTGTCGATTGATGGGCCTTGAACCTTGATCCGACCCCGCGATAAACTGTCGATCGATGGGCTTTGAACCTCGATCCGATCTTGCCATAAACTGTCGATCGATGGGCATTGAACCTCGATCCGACCCCGCCATAAACTGTCGATCGACAAACCTTGAACCTCGATCCAACCCCGTTACAAACTATAGATCGATGGGCCTTGAACCTCGATCCGACCCAGCCACAAACTATCGATCAACCGGCCTGGAACCTCGATCCAACCTCGCCACAAACTATCAATCGATGGGCCTCAAATCTCGATCCGACCTAACCACAAACTGTCAATCGACAGATCTTAAACCAACCTTTCCATAAAACTATTGATCGACATATCTTGAACCTCGATCCGACTTCTCTATAAAACTCTCGATCGACAAGCCCTGAATCTTGATCTAATGTAATCCAAAGTTACCGATTGAAAGACTTAAAGGGTCATGAGCGACAGAACCTTTGGCTAAAGCAATGAAGAGTTATGGTAGGACTCTTCAGGTGACATTGGGATGTAGAAGGGATTTTGGAATGGAGGATGGAAAATTAGTAATGTCTTACTCACTATGGCAAGGCCCAGTTTGAGAATAAGAGCAAAAGACAGCTGGAATAGTACAATTGCCTTTACAGCTTGCCATTTTTGGATCATTCAACAGGAAAGGTACACTTGGCAACATATCCAGAAATATAAGGATTAAGGCAACATGACCCGAGGGAAACAAGACCCTGACCCATTCTCAGACTGGAGGCCCAACAATGTACCACCTGAATGACCTAAGGCTATAAAAGGAGACACGGACAAAAGGGGCAAAGGTTAAGAGAACTGACGGCAGCTTCTTCCTTACCATTGCTCAAATTCTCTCACTGGACTGATTTTCTCTCCCTTCTTTCACCCTTCTGCATTCCTAATATTGTTTAGTGGTATATTCCCAGACCTCTTTGACTTTTCCAGGACCCACGAGAAACAGGTATCTACAACTGGTAAGACTGCGCACCCACCTGTGAGCACGCGAACTGAACCTTGATCAAGGAAATCGATGGCCATTAGCCATTGTGATAGGTCGCGATTTCGGCGATAAGTGGGTTTTGTTCTCATCGTCATG